GACCCGCATTCACTTATTTTCCTAGTGAGAACTATAAGGGTAGGCTTAAAAGAAAGCTGAGATCAAGGCGGTTAATATGCTGGCGCGATCGTTCGATTTAGACGGTTGTGGCAAAAGTTATAGGTGAATTCGTGAAATCGGAAAAGTTTTTAACTGCCTTTACTTTCTGCCACTCCTTAATTCACTTTTTATTTGTTAGTTATACGTTTTTAGGGCCCTGGGGGATTTTATTATTATGGCGTTATTGCTTTATAGACCTAGTCCGCATTAGGCTTAGTCTCATAGATTCCAACCGGAAACATATTAACATATCTTTTGACTATATCACTAGCCCGCGCTAGCATTAGGCTAGCGCCGTTCTACATAGTCTTAGACTCACATAGGACGTTAATGGAATAAATAAATAAATGAAAAAAAAAAATCCAAATCACGTCGTGTACGCGAAGTCACGTGCACCGGCACCACGTGTCATGCCTTAACATTAGGTGCAACCTGTCACACTATTGATTTTTTTGCTAGATCCTCTCTTTGCTTATTCCTCTCCTTAATTCCAGTATTAATATTGAAATGTGCGCGCTTGATCGAATGAAAAAAAGTGTCCGCTGTGACTCCTTTTACTGGGTCTCGAAAATCACCAGTAATGGCGGTGGTGAGACTGTCGGTATCTATGGGAATGGGGTAATGTGCCCGCAGGACGAAAACTATCGAATACCGAAAGCGGCGTGTAGAGCTTTCTAAGGGTTGTTCAAGCTGGAACTCGGGTAGGAGCGAACAAGGTGACCACCAGAACGATAGCGAGAGTTTGTTAGGCGCTCAAGTTGCCTACCAGCAAGAATACTTCCGGCCGGTGACTCAAAGCTTTTCTCGATAGGAAACCACGATTGGGCGTGCCGGTCCCATACTTCAAGGCCGGGTTTATCGCCAATCACAAGACTAAGGAGGCCAAGATCTCGGTGGGCTGGGTCCTATCAATTAGTTATGCTAGGATGGAGTCAAGTGTATACTAACGTTCGGCAACAGTCTTGGGTTGGTTTTGCTCGAATCCCTCATATCGGAAAAGACGCAACATAGTCGCTGTCTTCTCCATACTTAGTCTGCTGCAAGGCTTCGAATAAACATCCAATGCTTCAGCTGGTAGCTCCAAGCTCTCAGCTACTCGACCTAGCTGATCATTTAAAAGATCCCCAGCTACCGCCCCTGCGAAAGAAGAGTCAGCATATATTATTCTCGATATTGTGTGATTTAGTAGGATAAGGGAAAGACCAAAAGAGTCTGTTTGCCGGCATGCGTCTTGAATACATCGAAGAGGAAAGACTGTTTGCTGATGAAGAGTCAAAAAAGACCGACTGTCTTACAAAATGTTCTTGCGGCTTCAAGTAGTTCCGGCGGCGTATTGTCTAAGCTTCGAAGTGTGATGAATTCCTTTTCCCCTTCAACGAAACTCCAACCTTCCTCACTTCCTTCCTTGGTTTTAAAGGCGTGTTTTTGGGCTGTGGGGAGATCGAAGAATGACTTGCTCGCCTGGAACAAGGCCTGTGCGCTACCATATAATGCATCCTTTTCAACTGGTGTCTGGTACGTGATCTTCGTCCAGCCTTGATCTGAAAGAGCGAACTGGTGCTCTGGAAGTACGAGGGGAAGATTGACGACTTTAAGGGGTGGCAGGGAATACGGAACATCAGCTTGCTCTTCAGCTCTGAGAGACTGTTCCTGGCTGTCAGGCGGTTGTTTGTGTCGTCTCGGGATGATGCTTGAGCCAATTGATTTGATTGTGGAAAGGAAAGGCATAGTTGCGCAATGTTTTAAAAACGGCCAACTTTGGTCCCCTGATCCCCTGATAAGTGTTGTTCGCTTCTTCTAAAATGTGAACAAAGCAGGCAGAATCGGATTGAATCTGACCGAAGGTGGTGGTGGTGGCGCCAGGCATCCACTGTAAGGTATCCAGGCAATACAATCTCAGGCCGTGAAGGTATCGTACCACCTCAACTTATTAAAAACCTACCTACCTAAAGTAGACACATATACCTCATTACATAGACATATATTGCTTCGATGTTTATCTTGCTAGAGCTGGGTACTATAACCTTCAGAGGGATTTAACCAAGTCGTCTGCTTCTGGCTTCTGGCTTCTGGCAAGAGGTTTCTAAGATTTACAGTACTATGTAGCAAGAAAAGGGGCTCGCTTCATCCCCTAGCCTGCCTTGTTCTTGTCCAAGACAGAAAAGGCGGCACTGATTTCTATTCTTCCAAATTGAGTAGCACATTAAAAAGCTGACATACTATCAAGGGCCAATTTTTGTGTCCACCATGAGCTTATGTGCAGCTTCGCTGTTTGCAAGACAGACGACTTGCAATATACCTGTGTATGTTATTAGCAAGATCGCGTATGAATCTTCTATTATGTTTTGTCTATTGCCGGAATTTCTTTGCCTTGCGAATAGATACTTGAATATGCCTTTTTATAAGCAGTATATGTGCTGTCCGAGGCAGGACAACCGCTCGATGGTTCACGTTCACCCGATTTGTGTAATCTGCCATTTGACATCGATACCTATTACAAGAGAATACTAAGCACTCACCCTCTTATGGAGATAAACTCTCGGGGTAGTATATCTTACAATAAATCCCAGGTCACGGTGAATGAATGGCAAATAATTTGATTCTTCCTATTATTCGCACGCAACGTAAATGTGAATATGAGGGCCCACAGTAATACTGTTTCCGCATAGTTGATGAATGTTGTATCTCCAACCCCTCTAGCAGTCTTAAGCAGCTCGCCCCCATAATCTCATGGGCAGGGCACATAATACATTTTCACCAGCACAGCGAGCCCCACAACAGTTGACATTCACGCTTCAATACGAAAATCCCCTGCACTTCAGGACAAGCTATACAAGTCCTACTTCGGCTTCTTGCGAATTCGCATTAGCATTTCAAGACTTTCGATTCCTGTTTCTCAGGCACTACACCCAGGTCTCACGGGTTCCTTTCTGCGAAGCAAGACAACTATACGTTTCGATCAACACACCCGAAAACAATATGCAACCAAGTGCAGGGGAGCGGGCGAAACTGAAAGGCCGGTCGGCGTTTGAGATCTCAAAAGGCATATACCCCAGGGATGTGATAGGAAGGAAGAGAGCCAGGGACGAACGCGGTGAGAGCGAGGAATATTCTGATGAGACCGAAGAAGGACGTAGAAAGAGAGTCTTGACCAAACACAAGCAATGGTGGAAAAGCAAGCAAGCAGAGATCAAACCGGGGATCTAGTGCAGGAAGGAGAGGAGTAAGATAACTAGAACCTGATTTGTTTCCCCTCTGGCAGGTTTCAGGACTTCTCGGATCTTCTCTAGCGACTTTATCTATAAAAGGATTCCAGTCACCCCGTGCGTTTAGTTCAACGAAGCAACCATTGCTGTACTTTCACAAGCCTACAAAGAAAGCAAATCTAACCGGTGTACTCCGCAGCCCCCAGCTTGACTGGCAAAAATTACTTTACGAAGTTCAGAAGAATATCAAGGAAGAGTTTGGAGAACAGAGGCATCTAGACATTAAGAAGAAGGTAAATGCAAATATCGTTGCCACGATTCGAGAAGATATCAAGAAGGAACTGGAACTTGAACAAGTCATACTGAAAAACGAGCTCCTCGCGGCCGCACAAAGGGACTTGGAGGCAAAAACCCAGCGACTTCGAGATCTTGTCAACAGTAAGCTTCGTCCGGAATTTCAGAGACGATTTGAGCAAGAGAAGCGACAAGAGATGCGCTAGGAAATCGAGGCGGAGCTACGACCATTCTTGCTTGCAAAGATCCGAGACGAAGAAAGAGGACTTCTGAAGAAGCAGATTGAGGACGAGTTGCGTGTATTTCTTCTTGCAAAGGTCCGAAAGGAGGAGAAGGAAGGGATGAAGGCGGAGGTTGGAGGCAGAGTTGAGAACAGTCATCGAGAAGGAGATGCGAGAGAGTAATAAGACACAGGAGTTGATTCCGAGGGGAGAGAGAAGCACTGGGCGAGCCGCGAACAAGAAGGGGAAGAGAGCGGTGATTAGCGATGGGAATGTCCCACGCGAGGACAGTTTCATACCAGAGGAAGCAGAGGTGGAACGGGAGGGACCGGATAATATTCCGCGCGAGGAGAGTGTTTTGCCAGTTCTCGAAAATGATCCTGATTTCCCAGAGGTGGTTGTCACAGAACCAGCCGAGGGAAATGTCGAACAGTTGCGAGGTATTTCACAGGAAAACAGCATTGAGCATCAGAATACTGCAATCGACGAGAGCCCCGAGATTAATTCTGCCAGCATGGAAGATCCACCCATTCGAGGGAAGTCAGGAGCAGGAGCTGGTGGAGCAGGAGCCCTGGTCGGCCAGAAGAGAAAGGGAGTTGTTCCTCAGAACCCTAGACAGGACTGGCGAAGAGGAGATCCATGAGGGGGATGATACTGACCCGGGCGACTATATCAACGGAGACGATTACTTTTAGTGTATTTTCAGACAAGTTTGCTCGTAGATGTTGTGGGCAATAGAGGAACAAGCTGTGTACCTAGGTAGCACTCATTGTATTGCATTTCGAATACTTGTATCCTCAATATTTGCGTTGCCATTGATTATCTTCCCAGAACTGTCCAAGTCTCCCTTGGTCTCTCCTACCAATCTTTCAATGACCTTGGCCTTGGCTTGAGCTCTCTTGAAACGGTCGTCAAAGTCAGAGACGGCATCTTCTGAATTCTCAGTCGAAAGGCTTTCCGACTCGGCCAGGGCGTGGAAGACCTTTAGATGATTCACTAATCTCTGATTGTTGGGCAGCGGAGGAAGCTTTTGTGATAAAGAGGTTGGTGTTGTTTCAACATCTGCACCTCCGGATTCCTGAAGCTGCGGCATTCGATTTGCCCAAACGAGAGATTTGCCATAAAGTCTTCCACTCTCGACGAACTTTTCAAACCCTTTCTCCAAACCGAACGTGCGCCCTTCAATCCGTCCTGCTTTGACCCCATCCGCCTTCCCCTGCTGATACCCATCATTGTAGAACGTTTCCTCGAGTGCGAGTACCTCATCAAAAGTAGCGGCTTCCATGTTGAAGAGGGATGCGATGCTAATTTTGGCCCAGGAAGAAGCTGATAGACAAAAACAGTTGGCGGCGAATGAGGAGAATACTGTATGGTTAGGTTACTGGACAAGTATATTTATTCTTATTCCTGTGCATGTGATCAATTTTCAGCCTCGCCCTAGTCTGATTACAGTATGTGAGCCTTGACTCACCCCTCACCCCACCATGAATTCAAAACCACTAGAATTTCTCCAACCCTTCTTTCTCCCTCCACACTCGCTCTCTCCCACCTCTTCCCAATTGCACGCTCCCGCAATGGCAACCTCGACCGCGAATATCATATTGCCCGAAAAGGGTAAACAAAACATTCTTATCACTAGTGCATTGCCATATGTCAACAACGTCCCTCATCTCGGGAATGTAGTTGGTAGCGTACTCAGCGCCGACGTCTTTTCCAGGTTCAGCAAACTGAGAGACAGACCAACACTCTTCATTTGTGGTACGGATGAGTACGGCACTGCCACAGAGACAAAGGCTCTCGAGACTGGCCAAACCCCCCAGGAGCTATGCGACGAATTCCACAAGAAACACAAAGATGTGTATGACTGGTTCGAAATCGCCTTCGATTACTTTGGCCGAACAACAACGCAACAACAGACGGTGATCGCACAGGATATATTTACAAAGCTCCACAAGAACGGTTACTTGGAGGAACGAACAACAACGCAGCCGTACTGTGAAAGTCATAGCTCGTTTCTTGCTGATCGTTTCGTTGAAGGCACGTGTCCCAAGTGTCAGTATGACGACGCACGGGGCGATCAGTGCGACAAGTGTGGGAGTCTGCTTGACCCATTTGAGCTGATAAATCCCCACTGCAAGATCGACGGAGCTACGCCCGTACCCCGAGATACAACTCATATCTTTCTACGACTCGACAAAGCTCAGCCTGCCATAGAGAAGTGGTTTTCCAAGTCCAGCGAGCAAGGGGCTTGGCCACAGAATGGCGTCAGCATTACAAGATCGTGGTTGAACAAGGGATTGGAGGGTCGAAGCATTACGCGAGATCTCAAATGGGGCACGCCGATTCCGCTACCGGGATATGAGAACAAAGTGTTGTATGTCTGGTTTGATGCCTGTATTGGGTACCCCTCGATTACGGCCAACTATACCAAGGATTGGGAACTGTGGTGGCGTGATCCTGAGAATGTGAAGCTTTATCAATTCATGGGCAAGGACAATGTGCCATTTCACACGGTCATTTTCCCGGGTTCTCAAATAGGGACTGGTGACAAATGGACCATGCTCAACCATCTCTCTACTACAGAATACCTCAACTACGAGAACGGCAAATTTTCCAAGTCTAGAGGTGTTGGTGTGTTCGGAGACTCTGTTCAGGACACAGGAATCCCACCCTCAGTATGGAGATATTACCTTCTAGCAAATCGACCGGAAACTGGTGACACGCAATTCGAATGGAAAGCCTTTATTGCGGCTAACAACAGCGAGCTTCTAGCCAATCTTGGCAACTTCGTCAACCGACTTATCAAGTTTGTGAATGCTAAGCTGGAAGGGGTCATTCCCGAATTTTCCGCCGAGTATACTGATCAGTCCTTCGACTTCCCGATTTTCATCTCTGAAGTCAACGATCTACTCGCCGAGTATGTCGCCGATATGGAGGCAGTCAAGCTGCGTTCCGGATTGCAAAAACTCATGCAAATATCCGGCAAAGGGAACAACCTTCTCGCTGGCAGGTTGGATAACGCCAATCTGACTGGAGACCCAACAAGGACACATACCATTATTGGTCTGGCAATGAATTTGGCTTACCTTCTCGCCTCCCTTTCATCTCCATTCATGCCCTCGACCGCGACCTCCATTGCGCAACAGCTCAACGCCCCTCTAGTTTCTATTCCCGATAAATGGGTAGCCGATGCTCTACCAGGTGGCCACAAGATTGGTAAAGCTGCCTATTTGTTTACCAGAATACCCGAGGAGAAGGAAGAAGAATGGAGAATTAGATATGGAGGTACGCAAGCCACTCGACTAGCAGAAGAAGAGGCCAAGGCCAAGAAGGTAGCCGACAAGGCTCGAGACAAGGAACGTAAAAAAGCGAAGAAGGAAGCTGCTAAGAACAGCGAGTCCTCTGCAAGTATGGAACCTAAGAAGAGCGAAGGTAGCGCGCAGACGGTTGAAGCAGAGAGCAAAGATTCTACAGAGAATGCCCTGCCCATAAGAGGCGTAGTAGCGGAGGAACAGGCCCCACCACCTGCAGCAGCTCCATAAGCATAGGCAGATCGATGTACATTGCTGGCGTTTTGGAGGCACGGGATATGGGGTGGTGATGACTGATGAAAGGTGCGTTTGCTGGATCTTGCCTGCTTCTTCAGTGCAGAGAGGAAAAGAAACTATTAGCGATTGATAGATTTTGATGTGCTCAACCGTTACAGATAGAGAGAGTTGAAAGAGCTGTTTGGATTCTATCTTCTGTTATGATATCCTCGTGTCCTGTGAATGGAACATGAGCATACTCGAGGATACAAACCGTTAAAATTGGTCTCGAGTGAGATAACCAGGAAATAAGTACCAGTGAAGACGCTTGCGCTTTAGAACATTAAGTATATCTAGTCCTGCTCAATATGTACAACTCAGATGGCCATCCTCATTCCCCCATTAGCACAAACGACCTGTCCCGTACACCACCGACTGTCCTGCGTGCAGAGCATTCCCACGATGCCTGCAATTTCCTGTGTATACGCCGGTCTACCGCCCGCTTTATCAGCTCCACTGATGAGATCTTGATCATCAATACCTGGTCGTATCGCCGACCCAGGCGTTTTCTCAATCCAGGGCTTCAGACGCTTCTTGAAGTCGTCTGTTGTTGAAAACCACATATCCGTCTTTACCGGCCCTGGATTAATCGCATTGACTGTTGCTCTCTCGGCCAACTCTCTTGCCCATGTTCTCGTCATCGCTTCGAGAGCGGCTTTTGTTCCCCCGTATACGGATTGTCCCGCAAAGCCCTCGGAGCTAGACACCGAGCTTAAATTCACAATTCGGCCACTCCTATCGTGAGGTAAATAGGGCAGAGCTGCCTGGATAAGTAGCAGAGGGCCCAAAACGTTGATCTTGTATTGCCATTCCCAATCACTTATAGTGCACTCTTCAATGCTTAGATTTTTCGAAACGCCAGCGTTATTGACTAGGATATCGATTTGGAAACGGCCGGTCTTGGGATGTGAGAAGTGGTTCTTGGCACTGGTGATGATGTGTGCTGGGCCATTTGGGGTACCCATATCAGCTTGAATTACGAAGCATTGGACGCCGTGTTCCTGGGTAAGAGTTTCGGAAAACCGGGCACTGGCGGCAGATGAGGAGTCGGATGTATAGTTCAAGACTATAGATGCGCCTTTAGAAGCAAGATTGTGGGCTATTGCCGACCCAATTCCTTTCAATTGCTCGTTAGAATGATTCGGCAATATAGAAGGAGGGAATATTACCCCTAGCAGCTCCTGTTACAATGGCTAGCTTCCCTTCGAGGGGACGATAACCACGTGCCCCTCCAAGGTTTGTTGATACCGTTCTTTCATGGGTTGGACGTGAAGAAGCCATTTCAAGTCAAAGAGAAAGCTCAAGTTCTGTTAGAAGCTTGAATTTGTATGTAGAGAATTACCCAGTAGTATGACTGACTGTTAAATAATTGAAAAATTAATAAAGCTCCAGAAGTGGGAGTGCAATAAGAAGTTATAAATACTCGCGACTCGATACAATACCCCACTACCTACAAGTAGCACACCCCACCATCCCCTTAAAAGCTTAAGCGACGAATAGGGCGGGCCATCTCAGATCCGCACCAATGACGGCCATTTGGGAGACCGACCTCAAAATCTAGTAGTATGCGGATGCGAATGCGATCAACCTGCCCTGATAAAGCAAACAGCTGTCACAACAATCAATCATGGATATCCGACTCCTGCAACCGTCAGACATTCCACATGTCCAACATGCCAATATTACCAATCTCCCTGAGAAGTAAAATACCCCTCAATTTTGCCCCATCCTAGAGCTGACTGAGCTCCAACTAGTTATTTCATGAAATACTACCTCTACCACGCCCTCTCCTGGCCTCAACTCTCCTACGTTGCCGTTGATGTTTCACGCCCCAAGAAGAGCCCCTATGACTACCCCCGCATCGTCGGCTATGTACTCGCGAAGATGGAAGAGGATCCCCCAGATGGAGTGCAGCATGGGCACATCACCAGTTTGAGTGTGATGAGGACGCACAGGCGGCTTGGGATAGCAGAGAAGTTGATGAGACAATCTCGTATGTTTCCGTTCCAGACATACAATCTCTCCGAATCCAAAGAATGACATACAGGGAAAGAAAAAAGGCTGATCTAGAGGACATAGAACGAGCAATGGTCGAAACATTCGGCGCCCAGTACGTATCGCTGCACGTCCGTGTCTCCAACAATGCTGCCCTACGCCTATACCGCGATACACTGGGCTTTAAAAACGAGAAGGTGGAAGCGAAATACTATGCCGATGGGGAAGACGCATATAGCATGAAGCTGGATTTAGGCTTCATCCGCGAGCAGATTCTAGATGAGCAAGATGAGGGCGAGGAGGTGGATGAAGGAGAGCCTGTAGGAGAGTTGGGGGCGGAGAAGGACAAGGCGTTACCGCTTAATGGGAAGAAGGATGCTGCGCAGGGAGGGAAGAAGATGAAGGTTAGGGTCGGGAGAGGGCTTGGGGTTGGCGATTTGGTGGAGAAGAATGAGAGTCATAAGGCATAATAGAGGTAAAATGTCACCTTAGTGCCCGTGGAGATTGAAAGGGCGCGCCTGATATAGAGGAACCTACCAATTGACAATTGAGAGTGCAATCCCACCAATCGTGGACCAAGTGATCTGGGCTTTTGACTTCTGTTGTTTGTTTTTCACTCCTAGTAAAGCAGGATATACTATACAAAACTTTGATAAATTATGTTGATTGCACAATGAGTAAGTAAATTTCTGGCCTTTTCTGGTCTGTCACCAAGAAGCTTACTCTGGATCTTGAGTATGGAATAGCGGGCTGGGTCGAAGCCAAGAAGCATTGATTCGCTGCATGGAGTATTGCCCAATCTGTTCGACGGTTTAATAATGTTTGAGCTGTCCGCAACTAGCATACGCTCATTATACCAACTGGTAAGTGAGCTAGAATAGACTGCATTATATGGCCAAGCCTGAACACAAGAGGGTTGAAAAGATACAATCAAGCTTAAGGATGTTCACTTAGCAAATTCATGACGCTAAGGGCAGTTTAAATCATATAGTTGAGAAGTCCCCGGAAAAATTGGGCAGCATTGCATGGTAATTTACAAACCCGCCAGTAGAACCAAGCCGACATGCTTGCCATTCATTATCATCACCCCATTAAACCTATTCCCATATCCGCTTTCATATGTATCTACTTCCCACCGAACCAGGACGAAATTCCGCTCTTTGCCTCGGACGCTTTCGCTTCAACCTTTCGGTCAGCCTGGTCGATCTTTTTGCCGGTGTCTTTGCGCAGTTCCTCGAACTTGCCTTCGGCTTTTGCGAATTCTGCACGAGCCTTGTCGGCCTGTTCGTGGGGTCAAGTCAGTATTGAGTCTTGGGGAAATTTGGCTGTAGGTAGACAACAAAGTAATGTCCGCTGTAATGGGGAGTGAGGTCACAGAGATTGGGGATACTAACAGCAGAATCGACCTTTGCACCGGCTTCAGCAGCCCATTTCTCGCCTTCTTTCTGGGCTCTTTGGCCTTGGCCTGGAACTTCGGACTTGACCTTTGCAGAGGCCTTGGAGAGATCGGCTGGTGGTTGTGTTAGTATGGATGGATGGAAGGATGGCAGGATGAAAGTGTGGAGGTATGGAGGTATGGAGGTATGGAAGTATGGTCTAAGAGGATATGATCGGGCAAGGAGAGGGGGAGCAACATACCCTCGAATTGCTTCTCAGCAACCTTTGGATTTCCACCAGCGGTGTAAAGGTAGTAGCCGACACCACCTGCTGCTGTGAGGCCGAGGATGAGAGGAACTCTAGACTTTGGTTGGGCCATTGTGATTGTAGTTGTTGATGAGGGAGCAGAGGAAGATACAAGGCAGAATGGATGTAGGTAGGGGGGGAGTTGCAGTTGGAGTCACGGATGATGGAGAAGTTGTGGTGTGATGGTGAGGAAGGAGACTTGGAGACATGTATGTATTGGCTGCCTCCCCCTGTGTGCTCTCAATGCCAATTGCCATTGCCATTCCCTGCAAGGGCAAACCAAAACCAAAACAACTACGTCACGCCAGTAGAGTTTCCCCGCCCCGCCCAACCTCATGCTCATGCCTTGGCCTTGAAGCTCGGGCCACATTATTGTGCGTCATTAAACAACTAAAAACATCCACATGCACCAAATAAGTAAAGCTAAACTTCAATACGGAGTAGACCCTTTGTCATTAGGTAAACAATACCTGCTGGCTGCTGGCTGTACGTACGTACAACGACTACTCCGTACCTACCGTACTGTCAAGGTAGCTCTAGGTCTAGATCTACGAGTACATCTAAATCTAGATTCTCGGGGTTCTCCTACCTAACTACCTACCTACCTACCTACCTACTCCGTATACACTCGTATATCCCAGCTTCTTCGTTGAGAATCACCTGCCACTCAGTCTCCGGAAAATCCCCAGTCCAGTGCCCATCATCAGCCTCTAAAGCTGTGTGAGCAATCCCCGCAATGCTTTTCCATTCATAGAAAATCAAATGTCTATCCTGCATTCTTCCACCCGTCGACCTTCACCTCTCAGGGATACAGATTATGACCATGAAATCACACTTGTCGATCACACAGCAACCCTCCAAACACCGAGAAGCCAGTCTGCCACCGGTGCCAGCCACAGAATTCCATCCCCATCTGTTTCAACTTCTTCGTCGAGACGATACAGCGATGTCCCTCTGAACAAGGACTCCAGCAGGCAGAAATTGCGGCAAGAGATTACAAAACGTAGATACAAAAAATATCAGGATCGTCGGTTAGACGAAGAGAGACCAGAGTCACCAGACCCTGCCCAGCCTGAACAATCCCAAGATGATGACCAGGAGCAGGGTCAAGCGCAAGATGCAGAGGACAGAGGTCGGAAGAAAGCCAAGACAAAGCCCGAGTCTGCAATAGATGTGTTATATGAGAACCAACGCGGAGGCTTCCTCTGTGGTTTGCCCCTCTTCGCATCTAAAGCCTTAGGAAATCTCGACCCCTCTCCCTGGACGAACGTTGCCCAGAAAACGAGTGCTACAGACATTACAAATGCGCAGGTCCCTGATCCATCTTGGGAGTGGGCGTGGAAAGAATGGACTATCAATCATGACGAGGGAACGGATGAGGATGGGTGGGAGTATTCGTTTGCATTTGCAAAGCCATTTTCATGGCATGGACCTACGTGGTGGAATTCTTTTGTGCGGCGACGAGCATGGATTAGGAAAAGAGTTAGGAAAGGTTCTGGGTATCACATCTCTGAAGCTCACAGACTCAACTCCGACTATTTCACAATCCATTCAGCCAGCTTTGATGCGAGTCGTAGTCGCGCCTCGTCCGTGGACACCAGAAGATTAAGTGCCGCGCAATTGGCTTACCGTGAAATGGAAGACGAAATACTCGCCGAAGACATCACTGATATTGGGACACTAATGGAAGCTTTACGAGTTGCTCGAATAGACCGGGAGAAAATGGAAGCAGTTGAGAACTTCATCAAAAACGGTGGAGATGACCTTTACTCCTTGCAGGAGCGGATGCATGAGATAATGGAAGCGTTCATATTCCAAGCTTCACGGCGGCTCCTACTCACCCACATTCTCAGAATCTACAACGAAGCTGCAGAGCAAAACAAGGAGCACGCTGATGATAAAAATAAGAAGAAGAGGCTGGAGAACCTTGAAGCCGGTCTAAAGCATGCTGATGAAGAGGTTAGAAAGCTAGAGTTCTGGAGTGATGTGAAAAATATGGCCGAGAAAGGCCACACCAAGGGAGCAGTGGACAAGTCTCAGGGTTGGGACTCCCGATGGCTGGGCTAGATGATAGCGGTCCCAAAGACGTGATTTCCGAGCGAGAGCAGCCGCGTTTCGACAGTCGTGAAGATGGGAAAGGGAATGTAATTGCGGGTTCGGCTGATGAAGCAAGCGGGAAAGGTAAAGGAAAGGAAAGGGCAGAGGAATAGCATATTAGGGTGGCGTTCATATATATACCTAGACATGAGAGGCGTGGCATTAGCATTGGCACGAAGACGCCTGTATTTTGATAGGATGGTACCGCACTGATGGGCGTTCAAAATATATCACAATTTTCTATCCTGAATGGGCCAATCGAAACGCGTAGCATTTCCTCGCAATATGCCGCATTAACTGGGATATATAAGATCTGAGAAAGCTCTACACTAGGTGCGGAATTTATGGCACCTGCAAAAGCCTCAAGATAAAGTCAGTCCTGATCCCCTTTCTAAAACAAACCCACTTAAGATGAAAATCAGAAGGCCAGGCCTATAGTTCATTTGATGTTTCATAATCAAGCACTTGATATGCCAATATATGGTATCAACAACTTCGATCTTCTCTCCGAGGCAGTGCTATCTGCCAGTCCTGGTTGCGGCCTTTAAAAAAAAAGTAACTTTCAAACCATATGCGCATTATGGACAGGCATAGGTAACAACAAACAAGAATCCATATCCATATCCATAGCATAACCATCCATCCAGACTCCCAACGCAACCATAACACCCGTGTCCCCCAATCCTTATGATAAAGTATCAATCATTCTCTAATCACCAATCCTATAGCTGACCAAAGTATCAACCTTATGATTACTCGTACTGAAACTCCTCAGCTGTACTTTCTCCCCATTCTTAATCTCTTTCGCATCACTGTCTCCCCACTCCATCGGTACCTCACTATCCGCATCCGCATACACCAGCACATTGAACGTACAGTCCCCATCCAGCTGAGGCAAGAAAGTAACCGAGGCGGTAATCTGTCGGAATATAGACTGTATCTCGGATTGGATCTCTGCCTCCGTTTTCTCAGCTGGTGGTACAGCGGCCGCGTTATCGGGAGCAGCATTTTCCTTGTCTGCGCTCTTCTTGGAGGATTTCTTGGAGGAGGATTTGTTGATTATTTGAACCTACGCTCTTCCATCAGTATACAATCCTCGGTATGGGGAATGCGGAGAACGCACGTCGAACTGCCACCTCTCGACATGCTCGCCTGTATCTTTACTTGTAATAACAACCACAAGCTTCGATATCTTGCCGCCAATCATCCATTTGTCGAGCTGGCCCATGATTTTCTTAATGTAGGCTTTGACTTGATCGTCCGAGGAAACGAGCATTGTGAGGCCATATTTCTTGACGCTATGATTTTGTGAGCTTGAGTATATCGGATGGAAGTGAGAGGTAGGGGTCGTACGCCGTGAAGTCCTCGGCGGGGTAAACACCACGCTGGAAGCTGCGATAGAGTTAGTACTTTCCTGATATCTTCTACAGACGAGATGGGAAGACGAAGACATACAGAATCGTGTTTATGGAGAATTGGAACTGCTATGATTAGCTGCTAATCCTCGCTCCTGTTCGATGGGAGAACCTACGAATTCCGCAACGAGTTTCGACGAACCTACACCTTCATTAGTACAGCGCGCAGACTGCTGCAACAGTAATATAACATACCCTTCAGTGGGAGCTTGTGCACCTTTGTCTTGGATTTCTCTCGTTCGACCGACATTTTGACACGTTGTTGGGGGTTTATTGGTTTTGCAATCCTTGAATATTGATGGTTTCCCCAGGAAGATACACTTTCAGTTGCTGCAGCAATCGGCCGCTGCCGTTGAAATCGTCTCGTCAAAATAAAGCAGAGAAGTTTTAAGAGATTATTATTTGCTACAAAACCACGACAACTCCACAACACCAGCATCAGTCTTAATGCAGCGATGTCTCTTGCAGCTCCTTAGGCTACCTAGCTCTATAAGATCCCAATATGCATCTGGATTCCTCTCCCAAACCCGCGCATTCAGCGCCTCGGTAGCCCTCCGCGCTCAGGTTTCAAAGCCTATCTCAGAGCTGGAGCGCCGCATTCAAGCCATACCCATTGAACGCTTCCGCAACTTCTGCATCGTCGCACACGTCGATCATGGCAAGAGTACGCTCAGCGATCGGCTGCTGGAGCTCACGGGCACGATTGCACCGGGTGGGAACAAGCAGATCCTAGATAAGTTGGATGTGGAGCGCGAAAGGGGCATCACGGTCAAGGCGCAGACTTGTAGCATGCTATACAATCACGAGGGGGAGGATTATCTGCTGCATCTGGTGGACACGCCCGGGCATGTGGACTTCCGAGCTGAGGTCTCGAGATCTTATGCTAGCTGTGGGGGAGCGTTGTTGCTGGTAGATGCTAGCCAAGGCGTGCAAGCCCAAACTGTGGCTAATTTCTATTTGGCATTTTCCCAAGGGCTGGTACTGGTGCCAGTGGTCAACAAAATCGACCTTCCCTCTGCAGATTCGCCAAGAGCGTTGGAGCAGATGCAGACGGCGTTTGAACTGGCGCCAGAGAATGCGGTATTAGTTTCTGCGAAGACGGGACTTAATGTCGAGCAGCTGTTGCCGAATGTTATAAGGCAGATACCTCATCCTGTTGGAGATCACACGAAGCCACTGAGACTTCTACTGGTGGATTCTTGGTATGATAATTACAAAGGGGTAATTTTGCTCGTACGGATCTTCGATGGGCAAGTTAAAGCGGGAGATCAAATAGTGTCATTTGCCACGGGGATCAAGTATTTTGTGGGCGAAGTTGGGATGATGTATCCCCATCAAACACCTCTGAGCGTCCTTCGAGCTGGTCAAGTCGGCTATATATTCTTCAATCCAGGCATGAAGAAGAGTCAAGAGGCATTGAGCGGAGACACATACACGACGGTTGGTTCTGAAAGGCTCGTTGAGCCATACCCTGGATTTGAAGAGCCGAAGTCTATGGTTTTCGTCTCAGCATTTCCTGTTGATCAAAGTGATTTTGGCCACTTGGAAGATTCGATCAATCAAATCGTCCTAAATGACCGAAGTGTCACACTCCATAAGGAGTCATCAGAAGCCCTTGGGGCAGGTTGGAGGATGGGTTTCCTGGGCACACTCCACTGTTCCGTCTTCGAGGATCGCCTTCGCCAGGAGCATGGAGCCAGTATTATCATTACACCACCTACTGTGCCTTTTAAAGTCATATGGGCCAACGGGCGGGAAGAGATTATCCAGACTCCATCAAACTTCCCAGACGCAGATGTGAATCGAGACCAGGTGGGCGAACTGCAAGAACCCTATGTGTCTGCTACTGTAACGCTCCCCGAAGAGTATCTGGGGAAGGTGATAGAGCTCTGTGAAACCAACCGTGGCGAACAGAAGGAGCTTAATTTCTTCACTGCCCGCCAAGTCATCTTAAAATACGACATACCACTTGCCCAGCTTGTTGATGATTTCTTCGGCAAGCTGAAGGGTGCCACGAAGGGTTATGCAAGTCTTGACTATGAAGACGCCGGCTTCCGACGCAGCAGCGTCGTTAAGATGCAACTCCTCGTCAACAAAGAACCGGTGGATGCCGTAGCACGAGTTCTCCACACCTCACAGGTCGATAGACTAGGCCGGCAATGGGTGAAGAAGTTCAAGGAGCACGTCGACAGGCAAATGTTCGAGGTCATCATCCAAGCAGCTGTGGGGAAGCGTATCGTGGCGAGAGAAACGATCAAACCGTTCCGGAAAGACGTGTTGCAAAAGTTACATGCAGCTGATATTGGCAGAAAGAGAAAGTTGCTTGATAGGCAAAAGGAGGGGAGGAAGAAGCTGAAGGCTGTGGGAAACATTACGATCGATCACAAGGCGTTCCAGAAGTTCCTGGCTAAATAGGCCGAGGACAATACTGTAAATGTAAAACAGTGTGTTCCAAAGGACTGGTTCTCAAGTGGTTCATTAAGAAATTTGTTGTATGTCGAACTTAATACATGAATACTCCCTACTCCTTCCTGGCTTCTTTCGGGCTCTCCTCCGCGTGAAATGGGATGGATAATTACACCCAACAAATGGGTTCCTTGACACCTCATCGTGCTCGTGTCAATATTCTCCATTATTAGAAAAGCAGCTCCTCGACTATACACACTGACACACCTCCTTCGATCCAAGCTCAAAACTCAGCAAGCCCAAACAACGTCCACAAGTCCTCCTCCCCTGGTCGTCGCTCAGTGCAGGGACCTTTGAACCACTAGCTCGATATAAATACGGCTTCGCAATAGACTTCAGCGCGCTCCAACCAACACCATTCCTCATCTCCTCCCCATCACCAAACCTCCAGCAATCCACACACATCGCGCTCCACCCCTTCCTCCCAGTACACCCCCCGCACCGACCGCAGTTCCACGAGCATTTCCCACCTCCCCTCCTCTGCTTCGGCGTGGCACAAGCTGCACAAAGACCATGCTCTGAATCAATCTTCCGGCCTCTTTTCCATTGTCCTGATTTCATGGCATAGCGCACACATTTCCGGGGCCGCTGAATCTTATAATCCGCGTAATTCTGGAACGCGGATTCAGGCCGCGGATGCGGATAGATTGTCATGTGCTCAAAAGTATGCCACATCACACACTCCTGGCACAGATACGGCAGGTTGCGATCCCCTTTAAAGGTCCAGGTAGGAGGGTATTGTTGCAGCACGGATATCTTTTCGGGGGTGCTGGGCTGGAGGTGCTTTATGCGGACGAACCTGTTTAGCTGCTTGCAAGAGATCTTGAGGAAGACTGCACTGCTGTAGGGGAGATGAGAGGCGATGTTGAGTATTAGGTCACGGGGTAGCTTGAGGATGTTGGTACGCGATTTGGCTTGTGATTTTGGTCCGGGAGACGACCTAGGGCCCTGAATACTAGGTGCTCTGATATCACTGCCGAAGTAGCGGTACGGGCTTCTGCGGGATGAAATAGGATGAGAGGGTACTTTTCGGGCTTTGGTAGCCTTGACCGGTCGAGTGTCAGCGGGCCTCACAGGCTCATGCGAGGGTAGCTTTGTAACATTAATTTTTGAAATTGGAGGATTTACCACAGTCGGAAATGCACTGTGAGGCTCAGAGGTCCTGTAACCCCTGCCGGCCTTCAATGGATGTGACGTGCCAAACTTGATGCCCCGTACCCGCCCAATCTGTTTCCGAGTCGACGATGAGGCAGCTTGGGCAGGTACCAAGGGAGTTGTGTGAACGACTCTACTTCGAAAAGTCTGACCATCTTTCCTTTGGGTTTGAGAGAAGGGTACTCGTCTCCTTGAAGTAGTAGTAGTAGTAGTAGTAGTAGTAGTAACCGAGAAACCTCGGGTAGGAATTGATTCCCTAGCCTTGTTAGAGGCCAATATACTGTCTCTACGCCGGTTCGGTAAAGATCTCGTTCCGACAGCTCGAGATTTAACTGATCTAAGCTCGCTCACAGATATATGTATCGCTTTTTCTCCTTCCGGTATCACGGTAACGATATTCTGCGAGGCAGTGTGTCCACCCGGTCGGTTGGGAGTCTTGATCTTGGTCTTGGTCTTAGTCTTGGTCTGGGTCTGAGGTACCCGGTCGTCCAAAATCCGTCGCGAAGTGGTGGCATTGCTAGCTCCTGCAGACACTAAATGAACTCGTTGTATATAGGCGACAGTCTCACGTTCTGGAGTAGGTCTAGCATCTTTGGATTTTGGATCCTTCTTCTTCTTCTTCGATTGCTGTCCCTTGAACCATTTTTGAATCTGGCTCATACTTGGGGGTGCTAGCGGGACTTGTCTCTCGGCTGATGGTGGGGGGCTCTTGTAATTCTATGGCAGGCAGGGAAAGCTGCCAGATGTAGGACCCCTCGATGATTGGATCTACTACGGTAGCTAGACACTTCTGCTGTTTTGACGCCCCAGAAGTAGGTATCTAATAATACCATTTAGGGGAGGAAAGGCCACGGAAGGTTCTTATCATCGAGATGTGTTGCAGCACTGTTGGTAGGTACCAGTATGTTGGAAGTTGCGAGATAGGGATCACCCCTGCCCTCCGACGCGGGGTTAATAATATCAGCCGATCTCGATTTTCGGATACGATGCTCCATAACAAACAGACAAGCATGACTCCGTAGGATTCATATCCATGTGTTGTTTTGTAAGCAGCTGCAGCTGCAACCGTTATCCAGGTGGAACTTCAAGAGTTCCTGATAACCAATTTAGGAGAGAAAGATACTCGCTCATTTTCGGGACCTTGAATAGAAACCGCAAATCAAGTACAGTACGGTATTATCTTGGCTAGTGCTACTACATGTGCAATTAAATCGTACTGTCAGATCTAAAGGCTTCTGGCTAGGATTGTGGAAGATTTTCGAAGTGGAAATACGCCGAGACAGCTTGCCTCGCAGCCTCTAGCCCGAATGAAGAAATAGAAAAGACCCAAACAATTCCTTAGGTCGAGGCCAGATTGGCGACTTTGCTGAGCTTGTACGTAGCTCGCAAAGTGTGGAATGACTCCTCTCTTCCCTTTCTATTCTTACATGTGTCGACCTAGTGCTCTTGCTGTCGAGGAGCTCCCGTTCCTTATTTGAAACTATCCAGAAGCCTTCTTAGAAACATTAACATATGCTGGATGTTCAGACCTTATGAAGCAGAGGAGAGTATCAAATTGGTACAGCCGTAGCAGACGGAGCAGAACAAGTCGAGATCGTCGTATACGGCCCTTTACCCTTTGGCGGTCCCTCACCCGCAACCTGCTCCGCCTTCACAAGCACAGGAATTACTTGCCCAGTGCCTAGGCTGAAATTTCTATGTCCCAAAACTGAATACAATTAGTCTCCTCTCAATCCTCGCTGTTCGGGTTGCGTACCTCTCAAAATTGATCCAATAGCCCCCGAATGACTTGAAATGCTGATGTAAGTATTCTTGTCATTGGAGAACACATCCTCAAGCGCCTGCATAAGCCTCATATCCATGGCTTCATTCGTCTCCCTATGCTCTGCATCCCAGAGCGGATCGTCCTCCTTGAATCCTGCTTCGAATGGCCAATTTGGGTAGTTTTCACGAATGATACTCTTGCTACTTCTGCGATCGCAGGTATGCACACCGAGTTCTTCTCTGAACAATTCCTTGATGATAGGCACGAATTGGCGATCCTTAGTGAGATCCAGGCCAGAGAATGTGACGTTAGCTGTAGCGAGACAACGTAGGAGGGGACTTGTATAGTAGGATTCTGGGGTTGGGATGTTTTGGGAGGCGATCTGAGAACGCCAAAACGCGTTGGCTTTTTCAGCTTGTGCAATTCCCGCGGAGGTGAGCAGAGCGTCAGACCACTGTAACGAGTTAGTACGGCGGTTTCTGCAAGAAGCAAGAGCTAGAGAATGAAACAGCCTTCGGGATTCCAACACAGCAAAGTCAAGGAGTATAAGGGAAGAGAAATGCTGTGGTTACGGTAATGGTGCCATTGCCGTCTTTCAAAGACCAGTAACACTACCGAAGTTAACACGGGACATCATTGGGGTGGGGGAGACTCACATCCCAGTCATGTGTGCCATAGAAGGCTTCGGCGACGTTGTGATAACCCTCACCGTGACGACCCACTGGGCAGATTAGTTTGAGTGTGCTGAGAAGGGAGGCCCTGAGACTAACTGTAGAGAAGTTTGTATTGGACCTTTGGTTTGCTGTCATGATTGAGACGAGCTACTTCATTTCCAAATCGTTCCCACTGGCTTTTCTTGTGGTCGGGATCGAATTGCGAGTCCCCATGGTATGCGCGGTCTACAAGGCCGAAATTTGTGGTTGTCTAAGAGCCATGAGTGAGTGCGATTCAACGGAGCTCACGGTACTCACATAGTCAAAGCCACGGTCTTCTGTGATGGGATTGTCTTGCTGAAAATAACCCGTGACTGTGGAAAATGCGGTATATTCAGGGGTAGGATTTGGTGACTCGGCCATCATCATCCAGAGAGCTACGACAATGGTTAAGAAGAACAAGAAAGGCCTACACAAGAGGAGGTGAGTTTTGCATTTTCCAATGTCCGTCTTTTCGGGGTTGACTTACACAAGATAGATAGCTCTGAAGATGTGTATGCGTCTGGTTCCTTTGCCTCTCTTGCGAGCGAAAACGTGACGAGATGCTTGTTTGGGTGGTCCGGCCATGTGTTACGAAGGGTTGGGTTAAAGTGATGCATTAGTGGTACAGTACTGTACAAGCAAGTGCGTGAGATTTAGGAAATTGCACCCAGTGAAGTCATGGGACTAAGTCATTTTGCTACGTTACCTGTGAATAAGATATAAATAAGGTTAAGTAATGTATAAGTAATAAATATTATAAACCACCAGAACCTGAAGCCCTCCTTTACCCGGAAAGCTTACCTACCTACCTAGGAACAATAAACAGAACCCGAGGCAAGGGAGTATGGTGATCACGTGCCGATGCCAGCCCAGCGGGAAATGATAATGACGTAGACGTAGCTAGCCGTCCAAGCCCCGTTTTACTTCGTAGCTCCAAGCTCCAAGTCGCCTCAATTACTTCCCCACATTCCAATGCAAAACCACAGCAACGGTTGAATACAATAAGACTATGTAATATACCTAGACACGTGTACACATTCATGAAAAGAATCAATCAGTGAGGAGGAGGAGGAGGAGGAGGAGGAGGAGGAGGAGAAAAGAG